CCCCGGCCGACGCACTCCTTTACCTCGCTAAGCCAGCAATAAAAAAGCTGATAATAAGGAAATGTTGGGCATAAGGCTAACAGCCTTATCCTGTAGAAATAATCACCACTGCTACAGCAATTTTAAGCCTCTAGTTTGAAGCCCTATGCTCCCCTGGAAACGTGAAACAATAAAAAAACAAGGGAATATGCGAGTTACTAATGCCAACCAATGATTGTAACTCTCTACTCGAATAGAAACGATTTGCACCATGATGATGACTGTTTCGTTTGTCTGAAATCAAGTATATCCAAACTAAATTATTTAACATGTATAAATACTTCGAAACAGCAAAAGAAGTTAGTTCAAATAGATGAGATTGTGTTAGCTAGGATCGATAATTAGTGATTGCAAGATTCTCAGTCCATGGTGAAAATAAAGAGTGGTTCCCTTTGAAGACTCAACGGTTCAGACTACAAATAAGGATGACGTTTACCACACATACATAGCATCAGTTAAAGTGAGCATGAACATCACTCATATTATTCAATGGGGTTTGTTACTATATACCCTGTAGTTCTAATGGATAGATAACACACGCTGTTGTTATCGTAATAGTAAAAGAGATGGATGAATCTTGTTATTTAGGAAAAACCAATGGAGTTAGAAAGATAACCTTGGTATTTCTAAAACTATGATAACATAAAGTAATATACGATACACAGCACAAAATAGAGTCTGGAGCTTATACAACATGTTTCTCAACAACTTTGCAATTTACACAGATCAAAGTGGATTCGGGTGGTTTAAACTGACGCAGTACTGTTGTGGTGAGAGCTGTTCACTAGCCAAAATTGTAGACAGCAATTTACATCAGTGTTTACGTCCAGAATCGGGGTCATGAAGAAAACAATAACAAAGCTTATCCTTGAGGAACCAATCACAGCAGACTTAACGTGTGCAAATTCGATTCGCAGATATATGTCCTACCTTTCTAAGAAACAGCCACAAAGAGATGACAGAAAAACCTTCAGCAAGAAAACAACCAATCAGAAGGCGTTGCTTCTCTACTAACAATAATGAATAATAATGTAGATAGAAATCTATATTTCTTGATTTTCTCAATAAACGATCCGTTGCCTGGCCCTTGTCTTCTGTAGTTACGCTGTGAGCTGGGTCAAAATGGGTATGCCGCCGATGAGATCCACCTCAAATGGTCTTCTGGTGTTTAGATTACTTCTTTCTCTCTAGCAAGCAACCATCGAGTACTACTGCTTAATGTGAGTGGTATCCAACCATTCATAATATTCAATCAGTAGAATATGGCATCATGTTTTTGAACAATTATGAAGAATTTCAGTTGTGAGATTTTTGCCACAAACCAACACCAGTTAGAGAGATAAACGAAAACCTGAAAGTCATGAGCAGCCGTTTCGTCCAGTTCTGGAACTCTTCAACAGTGTGCACCTATGTCTCCGCCAGGAATCGAATCCGAGGCATTCAGCTTACGAGACCACGCTCGTTGACAATTCAACGCACTTAGGTTGGAATTCAGTGACCTGTGAATCCTGACTTAGCCAACTCTCAGTATAGCACTGTCTTCACACCAATGCCTTCACCTAGATATGATGGATCCCACTGATGATGACTGCGCACTGCGGCTTCAGGGAGAATCCCAAGATAAGACAAAACGGCTGCCCGATGCTCCCTGGTTTTCAATGATCTCTCCTCCACTTTAACTGATGTTGGTTCATGTCAAAAATCTAACAGTAGAAATTAACTGAAAATCCTAACAAATCCTATAACCTGAATTATGAAAACCCAAATATGTACAGGATGTTAGTAGAAAGATAGAAATAACGAACACATAAACACAGTTCACTAAAAAAAGATCTAATCTAGAACCAGCAAACAAGCAATCAGAAAAAACAAACAAATAAAACAAAGCAATAACAACACAACATTTTGTTAATGTCAAAGGTCACGTTCAAATAGGCAAGATTTCATTCCAAATACATACACATTGACCTAATAAAAGCTAAGGTTAGAAAGGTCAACATTGAATGAGAAAATCACCCTAATATATGACTCTTGAAATCGATGAAAAAATCCTCAAAATAAATTAATACGACTTTCAAATACTCTACTGCTGTTTAGAATGTCAGAGATCACAGCTAAATATCATTACTTGAAATAACCTCATTCAGATAATATAAACCTAATATAACTACTCCAATGAAAATACTAAGCCATTAAATTCACTGTAGGATTTAAATTAAGAATATATGAAATAGTGCCGCCAATCAACTGTTAAGTCAAAAATAGGACAAGGTTACAGGATTATAGACATACAGTGTAGTTTATTGTACAGTTCATAAGGCCTGTATTATGGTCAAAGTTAATTCCACATAAATACAATGAAATTGTTTTAATAAAAATTAAAACAAATCCAACTACTACTAGAAAGAAATCAATGGAAGTCCAGAATAATGAAAGCTCCGCAATGTATTTCATCATATAGTGAATTTATATGATAAAGTCTCCTAATGTTATACAGTGTTATTTACTGATGATGTTTTGAGCATAATTTATTGCTGTTCATAATCATATCAAAGTAGTGACACAACTTTGAAACTTGGTTTAAAAGGAGAATTAGCTATGTTGGATTGTAAAATAAAACAAATAGAAGAAGGTAAACTGCACACTAGCATTTATAAAGGCAAACACATTCTAATAGATATTTAGACTTCAGTTCATCTCATCCGTTAACTGTTAAGGCAGGCTTAGTTAAGTGTCTAACAAACCGAGCAATAACAACACTAAGTAGTAGAACAAAAAACCTAAATGATAGAATAAAACAGATAGAAGAAACGGTGGTGTTAAATAACTATCCTATAAAACTCAGGAAGATCAGAAAAGGTCAAAAGCAAAATAAAAATAATAGTGGAACTAATAATGATAACATAAATAAGAAAGAATATAAGGCATCTACAGTTTTACCATATAAGGAGGGGACATCTGAGACCCTACGTAGGATTCTTAATAAAGCAGGAATTAGGGTGGCATTTAAACCTACAAACTGACTCAGGGACAAGTTCTGTAGGTTAAAGGACCCTAATGATACAATTTAACAAAATAATATAATTTACAAAATACCTCACAATCACTATGATTGGAGTCAACTACATAGGTCTCGTCACTAGATCGGGGGTAGTCCGACTGTCAGAACGTAAGAATTTAGCTAGGAGTAGAATGATTAACCCTGCGAAGATAAGTAACTTAGAAAAAAACTCAGCGATTGCACTGCATGCATTAACATACAACCACATAATAGGGTAGGGCGGAGTTACAATTCTAAAAAGTAATGAAGATAGATCGAGAGAGGTTGATTACTGAATCTTTGTTCATCGAATCTACACCCAACACGTGCAATAGGAATGACCGGTCACTGAAACGTCATCAGTAAGTATTACTGTATAACAGTGAGACTCTATCAAATAAATTTACTATTTAATCGAATTACACTCTACTACAGCGCCCAAGTCCTATTTATATATCTTCGTAGTGTCTAAAACCAGAACAGTGTTACACGACAGTAAAAAAGAAAGAGCACTCTCATAAAAGTGGACACAAAATTAAGAGAAATATTTACTAACAACTGGAAATAATAAAACGGGAGGATAGTTTAACATTCCCGATGACTAGTTTCATTTTCAATACTGCTAAATGCATATCAGAGGTTGACGGCAAAACTAATCTTAAGAAAGCCTGGTATAATATCCAACCGTCTATAGAAACAATAGTAAAAACGCCGTTGATAACCGGAAACCAGAAGTTGGTACAATGTTAGTGGATTTTTGTTGTTTTGTCCGACTAATAGACACAAGAAAACTGATTCTTGTGGGTTCCGAACATGGCAAGGAACGAAAGTTGCTCGAACACGTAAATTGACTAAAAGTTCCCGCAAAGACAGTGAGCGCTGGTGGGTGACAAGAGTTAAAAAGAAAAAAGGCATCGATTGTAGGTAGCACCAGACAACTGTTTGTATTCATCAGAGAAACAGTTTGCAGAAGTACGATGCTTTAATTACTTTTGAGAATAGACGACCGGAAAGGACACTTTGAAGGGCATTTCACTGGTCTGTTACAACGCTAGATTTTCTGAGCATCAAACGTCTGTCTGTGTTGGATGTAAACACCAAAGGGTTTGCAAAAGCTGTCTCTAATCTGAAACAAGGTGAGGTGGCAGGACCTCATGGAAGGTCTTCAGAGATGTTCAAGGATGATGATGGCCTACCTGTTAGGCTAACTAAAATTAAAGTTAACATTAGGGAATCAGGGATGGTCCTGTTGGACTGGTGTAAATCACTGATTACCCCCGTTTATATGGACGGAAAAAATTCTTCCTGTGATAATCAAGGGGAATAAGCTTGACTAACATGGTTCCTAAAGGACAAGGTTCAACAATCATGCATAAACTAAGAGGTGCTAGAAAAAAATAAACCCGGAAAAGCCAATCAGGCTTTAGACTAGGAGGATCAAATATAAATCTTAACTCTCCAACAGATTCTGGAACACTGACATACTTTCAGTGTCCAACATTTACTATATTTCTTATTTTAAGTATGATTTACCAGACTAGATACTTGGAATTCAAACCAACAAACTACAGGGATCAAATCTCACCACAATAAAAGATATTTGGCCGATATAAGAATGGAACTTGTGCATTATGGTACAGTATAATTAGATTATGGATAAAATTTATTTTGATAAAGTGTCATAGTGTTAGATGCAGTAATATTTACTGATGACGTTTTGAGCACAATTTATTACTGCTCATAATCATGTCCACAATGGAATATTTGAGCGATCATCAAAAGAATTACTAATATATCACAAAGTGGATCCGGTGCACATCCGATTGAACAAATCTGTCTGTAAATATTTCATTGGGATGATAACTAACTAATTGATTGATTAAAATTAAAATCACTGAAAGATAATCGATAGACAACTTACTGGTTTAAGAATGCGAATAAATATCTCATCACGACAAACACCGGTCGACTTAAGTTTTGAGTAATAACATGGCGCAAACGCTGAATCATTTCATTTATTTCTAAACCTATAAAGGTAGAATAAAAACAATAAGACAAACATAGTACACTAACGGGTAAAACGTCTTAATTTAAATTAAAAATAACCTAGTCTTTAAAAAAGGTTACTGTGAAACAATTAACTCAATGTTATCCTAAAGGTAAACGCAGAGAGTTCAGAATATCAGTGTTCAGAATGAGTCTCAGCTTTCACTTTCAGCTTCTTTGTGAATATTTTATTGGCAAGTGAAATGCTATGACTGACGAATAATGCGCAGCCCAACAAATGAAATTAACTCAAAAAAATAAGAATAATAATACCAATGAACAATTAAAACTACGTAGAATCATAAAGAACACCTTAGACATGCATTGGATAATAACTTCGCAACAAAATATACTCGTCGTGTAAAGACTAACGATATTACCCTATCGCCCAGAATAAGGTAGGTGAGAAGGGACTCGAATCCATGACCCATAGGCCAAAATCGAGTAATTAAGCCAATGAGCGTGCATCGGTGGTATAGTGGTTAGGACGCTTGCCGACCATGCACATGGTCCGGGGTTCGATCCCCGGCCACTAGACGCACTCCTTTACCTCGCTGATACAGAAAGGTTGAGCATGAGGCTAGCAACCCCATCCTGTAAAAATAAACACCACTGCTACAGAAACTTCAAGCCACTAGCTTGAAGCCCTATTTTCCACAGGGGAACGTGAAGGAAAAAAAAGTCAATGAGACATACCTCCACTCAAAACAAAAGAGTTAGTACAGAAAATTTAACAACAACACCAAATAAATCCCTAACAATACTAAGTTTCGAAGAGCTGAGTACGATTTTTTGTTACCTAAATCATGCCAACTAATATTGAACATGTAACATTAATCTTTAAGATGATCAAACAGACAGGCGAAGGAGTAGGTTTTAATCACTACAATGAATAAAAAGCACAACACAACAGGCGTAAATTATTTTTCCTACCTGAAAAAACGTCTTCCTTTTTATCATTTTATTCAGCATATAATTAAGTATAGTTACGCATAATGTCAATATCTGTTGGTGAATAATTAATTCTAAAGAATGAAACAATCTAACTTTTGGTAAATTATAAAATACATTTCACAAAGAATAACTGAACTCCATTGTGACACATTATCTCCACAATTAACACGAAGCATAACAACAGAAGTAAAGTCGTAACAAATGTTCTATTCATGAATATATATTAATTAAAACGCAGAATACTGAAAGCAAGGAGACGATTAACATACTTTGACAATTTGAATCGTGTAACAAAACTTGTCAAAATAAGGAAGATACACTATTACAATATACTCCTCCCCCCATAAACGACCTAATACGGATGAGGATGACTGGACTTTGGTCTTACTCTCGAAATGCTATTTTGTGATCTGTCGAGTAATCCCTATTCACTGGCTTGACACAGCAGGGGTGTTCCTCACAAAAGTGAAGGAGCGAATGCGAATGCCTGAAGCTTACAATTGAACTGGTGGATATGCAGGTCAACCTAGGCGAGCTAGAAAACTCTGATTTAAAACGAATGGTGTACATGGGCTTCAGAATCCTAATAGACTGAATGGTGTATGGACCTGCTTTGGTCACCAGAAATCATGGGAATGTGGCTGCTGACTCTGCTTCACTGGATTGTGGACCAGACCTCGAGTGGTTCTCTTATGACAATCACCTGCTTCGGTCTCGGGGTATAGGCAGTATTGCAGCCATCACACAAACTGAGTTCCCGTGTGGTGCATAATGTACGACGTCTTTGTATTGGTATTAAAACACAATACAGCCAACTACTTACAACTGAAAACCAGTCAGAAAAGCCTTGAAATAATTAGTATTTATACGAGAAATAACTGGCCGATATAATAAATACAGGTGCATAAAAAAGGTGACACCATGTATGTATATCAGTTGGAATTGCCAACTAGATAACTAGAATAATTATAATAGATTCCAATCACCAAATTATGACGTGGCAACTAAGTCTAAATCATAAATGAAATTTGGATAGAAAGTGATGAGTTACAGGATTTCACCACGAGCTGATATCGGTTAGAGAACCACCGAAAAAAACCCGCAGGGAGTGCTGTACACCTAACTGTGTTCGTCCTAGTTTGGGGGCTCTTCATCGGTACACACCCCCACCCGGGTTCGGACACAAGACCTCCCGGTTACAAGGAGAGCTCACAGACTATTAAGCCACTGTGACACGACCCAATGGTGCATGAATTTCAACTTCTGCCAGTTTACTATATAGCGCGACAACTAGTCAATGCCATTCATGGCGAGTATTTGTCCTCAAACCCGACCTGCTGTATCCCAATAGTCTGTAGCCAATCGAATCCCCGCAAACCAACACTAGGAAGTGATAATTTTAGTATTCTGAGGAAAGAGCGAAATTCTCCTAAAACCGACTTGTTAAATTATCTTAGAATGGTATGTAACTAGTTATCTAGGCTATCACAAACATCCATATGGTAAGCCTGATCATTTTTTAAGCAAACAATGTGTGCATAATAAAATTCAACCAAAGAAAAATAACAGAATAATTTATCTTCAGAAATAATACATAATTAAACAGAGCAAAATAAGTGCAGCTTGTGAAATATTTGTTCTACATTAAAACAAGTCTTTTTCGATTAAATTCGAAAAGATGGATAGCCTATGAAAAACCACCCTTTCGCTATTATTTATAATGACCACACAAGATGATGTATATAAATATCAAGTAAACAGAAATAAAACGGAGTTAAAATAAATAAAAACATCTATAAAATGTGAAACATTTGGTCAATGAAAATATCAAACATTTGGGATTTCAAAAAAATCCACTCAAACCACGATGACTGACTGAGTTTCAACACAGAAATTTGCACAGAAGTGCAACCGTTCAAGTTGCCACACTGCATATATCACACAAAGGAAGGAATGTGCAGTGGAAAAACATTAGTGTTATGGGAGAAAATAAAGGGTGAATGTGTCTGCATCATATCTCCAACAGTCTTCAGCCATTGGTTCTTAGAATCCTGAAGAACCCAACCAGGCAGTCTATACTGCATTAAGTAGCTCAGACTAATTGTCAACGATTTCATGGGTTGATTCCTAGTTTTTGTTTGACCATTTCCAGCTCTTATCCAACCTGGTCTTATGTCAACTGACATTTCTCATCGAGGAAGGCAATGGATAGGCATGCATAACACATGTCCTAGCCGTCTCAGTTGACTCTTATTCCCAAACTCATCGATCGACTTACTTTCCTTATACGCTAAGCACATATCTTCATCGTCTTGACCTAACTTAGTTTCTAATTAGTGGATGGTGACTAGCGGCAGGAGAATCCAGGATGCGCATTTCGCCCTATTTAGGACTCATCATCTGGATGTACCTGGATATACATCATCACTCACTGGGGAATGCAGATACATCCAGATGACGAGTCCCAGATAGGCCAAAATGCGCATCCTGGATTCCACTGCCGCTAGTCACCACCATCCACCAATTAAATTCGAATTACATGCCCAGACATCGTCGAAGCACCTGCACATGTCAACCTGAGACCGAGCACTTCGGTCCAATCAACTGATGGGAAAATCTAAAATTCAATTAAATAAGTAACTTTGTTTCGTTTTTCTAAATGAGGATGTCTTTATCATCTTTCTAGAACATTTATAGTATGACTCAATAGTTGTGTTATGCATAGCATTTATTTAAGAAAATCTTAGGTCAATTATATAATATATATATATATATATATATACTGGAAACAATTTACGCATGAATAAGTATTCTTGTGTACAACACGTGATTTCATATGTACACGTATAACAAAAAAAAGCTAACTGATTTTCATTTTTGAAAATTAATACCCTTGATAGGCAGAAGAATGAATATTCCAATAGACTGCATTACCACACTTCAACACTTTGAAAAACAACATTATGAAATCATATGTCAGACAGATAGGATACTCAAATCATGCAACATTGGTAAAATAAGGCTAATAATAACTATTAGCATTGTTTTCAACTAGGGAAGCTAAAGGACTAACTGTATTAGTATATTATGATATAATAATAATAAATTAATACCGACAGATATGAACAAAACGGATAACTACGATTCAGAAATGAAACACACACACATACACACTCACTCCAGAGAAGAAAATCCCCTCCCCCTCTCCCTGATTAATGTATAAACACGATTGCACAACTATGAGGATGAAATATTTAAGAAAAGGGGGATCTTTGTTTCGAGTATAGATCAAAGGCAAGGTAAAAATATTTGTCAGTCAACATAAAAGTGTAACACATTGATTGATAGCTACTTCGATTCATGTTGTTCATACTGCATTGAGATGATATGAAAATTAGCCACTCATATCGAGTCAACATTTACATCAATGAAGAATTTCATCTAAAGTATGGTGAGGTTATTATTATTTGCATTATTGTTTCCTTTAGTTCCTAGAGAAACATAGGGATTCAGCCATACGTCTCCATTGCGTTCGGTTCTCTGACAACGTTTTCACCTGGCTCCAGGTCTGCCCACATGCTTTCATCTCCTGTTCACATGACCTCCTCCATGTCACCCCACCCTCACAATGACGACCAACTCGCCGCTTCCCATTCGGGTTCCATTAGAGTGATAGCCTGGTGTGTGATGTCACTTGATAGTTTCTTCACAGTATTGCCAATATACCTCCATTTCTTCCTGCATATATGTTGCACAATCGATTCCTTCTGGGTTGGTTCGCTCATTGCCAGAGATCCCTGTCACTGATTTTTTCTGGCCATCTAGTCTTGGGTATTGAGTGAAGACAGCTATTGATGAAGGTCTGTAGTTTGTTCGAAGTGTCCTTCGTGACGCGCCAAGTCTCTAATCCGCATCTTGTTTGCTGAGTGCTGTTAGAGGACATATATATAGATAGTCAGATGAAAACTTAGTATTAATCTATGGAGCTGTTGACTATCCCTCTGAAGCATTTGTGCAGTTGGAGATT